CATCAAAAGCCCTAGCACATTTAAAATGAATTAATAGAGCCCTCATTTTTCTACTCCATAGAGTAAAGTCTCATTTCCCATTCCAAACCTCCACATCAACCTTAGTACTACCCATAGTGACAATGCAGACAGAGGCAGTAAAATTATGATGCAGTACAGACAGAGCACAAAGGACAAATGAGACACCTGCAGATAAAATAAATTATGCAGAATTTATTTATATCTCGCAAGTGTTCACAAATTTGAAAATAATCAGATAGGCAGGCAACAAGTTAATGCAAACTTGATCAGTCAACAATAATAGGTGGCAGATAAGAATTACGAGTTTCAAATAATCTTGAAGAACCGTTAATCCCAGTCCCCTCAAATTCTAGGGTTTTCAAATAAAACCTTAGACAAAGGAAGATCCAGAAGGTTCAACCAAGAGATCCAGAAATATTGTTCGAAAGGAAATAACAATATATGGTTAAAAACTCGTTACCAAAATCCTCTGATTAAGAATGTAAAATAGTGAAAACCAGAACTATTTTACCAATATGCCAAGAATGTGAACTAGACAATTTTTGGTAAAGGTCCTTTAAGATCTGGAGTCAGTTCACCAAGAATAGCCAGAAATAGTTTCAGATCAATGAATATATTGGAGATCGAAGTGCTCTGATACCACTGTAGGAATTATTCAGGCCCCAAAACACAAAGTAATACGGAAAATAGAAATGAACACAAAGAATTTTTTCGCCCTAAGGCTCGGATGTTCACCTAAATTAGGGCTAGTCACCCGTTGAGCATTCACCGAAAAGATTAACGCTTCAATCCACTAGAAATCAACAACATTATCATTAGAAACCAACAATATTATCAAGATTAAAATTACAATACAACAGATCCAAAGGATCAGCCCTCAGACCTCAATACAACAGATCTCACAAATCATTGAGAAATTGATTACATAGAGTAACCAAAGGTTACTGCCCACAAAAGAATAGAAAACCAAACCCAAACATTAATCAAACACTAGATCTCACCAAGAACACCTAGATCAAATATTACAGGTGAAAACCACAGGTTTTCAGAGAGAGAACGAGAGAACCAAAAGTGTAAACCCTAGAATGATCTCGAATAATTAAGAGTGAATAAAGAGACAAGCCAAAATAATATCAACAGGCACAAACATCCAACGATCGTAGCTCCATCCTCGTGTCACAATCTCAACCCTTGAGATAAGTGATGAATTGGGCTACCGGGTTGCAAACAATGGGTTGGCCTCCTCACAATAGTTAAAGGGTACATCACAGGGCCCAAGGAATCAGGTAAGTACATTGCGCTGCTAGAATATGGGCCAATTGTTAAACACCATTTTTACAATATCCATTTGAGACTTGTGGAGTAGGTCATAGACAACACAATGAGTGCAACATGGACATTACGTATTTGAGTGAGGGAGTTTGACACCATTCTACTGTTCTCACTGGTGCAACTGCCTAACGCTTCATAGCTTAATATCAGTATCGAAAATTTAAATACACAAAACACGTGTGAACAACTTTTTGATAACATTTCTCAATTTTTTAATGCCCTCTATTTGAATTATGAACCATTAGAAATGCTCCATTTCCACCATTTTACATATTTATCTAGTCTATCTTCCTTAAGACTTCAACAGACTCAAATTATGGATACCCAGAAAGTCATCGTTCAGGCATCAATTGCCACTTGAGAACCAGGGCTTCATTGACTCCGTTGCTTATATGCTGAGAAGCGACCTTCTGCATTAGAAGCTTAAAATGCCCATGGTTACTATATCCTTATTTGAACCGATATCAACTATAAGAATTTGAGATTCTGGAGTCACTAATCAAAAATGATCATTCGCAACACTAAAAAGACAACACTTACTAATAAAATGTTGCTAAAGGGGTCTATCGCAACATTTTAATAAGTAAATGTTGCCATTGATCAATATAAATAAGCTTTGGCAACGTTTTTTTAAAAGAATGTTGCGATAGACCCCTTTTTGCAACGTTTATTGAGTGTTCGCAATGTTTATCAAGTGTTGTGAAAAGCTTTATTTTTTGCCACGTTTATTAAACGCAACCGAAAGGTTTTACTTTTACAATGTTTTTTGAACAGTACGAAATGTCTCACTTTTTGCAATGTTCTTTGAACGTTGCAAAAAGTGAGACTTTTTATTTTTTGCAACGTTTAATGAACATTGCAAAAAGTCACTTTTTGCAACATTTGACAAACGTTGTGAAATTTTTTATATTTTTGAAAATTATACACAGGCTGATAGAAACCCAAACCCTAAGAATATTCATTACTATAGTGAGTTCTCTCAAGTTAAGGGTGATTTCTAGCCCTTCATTTCGTCCATTATGGAACAAAATTCCGACAAGCCATGGCCACCAAGACCACCGAACCTTGATACCAGGGGAAAGCCCTTCACCTCTTCTTCATTTACCTTCACCTCGTCTTCATTTACCACCCAACACCTCCCAATTTCATAGACTATGGTGGCCAGAATCGCTGCTCAAAGCTCGCGGCCTGCAAATCTGAAGTTCGTCAGAATCTCCACATTCGGCCACCACCATGAATGGAACTCACCACCAGTCGAAAGCCCACTACCAGGCGACCTCAACCATGGTACCAATTTACCCCAAATGTCATTTCAACAACCTGAATTTATTCCAGAAGTTCTACCCGTCACGAAGTTCGCAAAGCTGGATCCGAATTTTCAAAATCTCAACACCATCTGGTTGACCCATGGTTACGGACCACATAGGTTATCTTCCTCCCCACCTGGCCCAACCATGGGTCAGGTCCAATTTTGTCCAAAACTCGATGAATTCATGGCTACAGTTAGGGCGCTCTGCGAAAAATTGGGAATGAAGGTTTTTGATGATTCTAAGTTGCTCCAAATGTTTGATTCGACTACTAAATCTTCAATTGATGATGGACACACCATGGGTCATCAACCAATTCAGCCAATTAACAACTAAAATGCCAGATTGAACCCCCTTCAAGTCCGTCCACGCGATGACAAATTGGATTATTTAATTTCTGATTTTGCTGCAGTTTTACCACTTAATCCTATCAACATCAATGCAATTGAGGACCCTAATATTGTGGTTGATTTATGTAAATCACTATACAATTAAAAAAATTTAAAAAAAGGTAAAAAGACCTACGACAACATTCAAAAAACGTTGCAAAAAACTATCTTTCGCAACGTTCAGAAAACATTGGAAAAAAAAAGTATTTCGCAACGTTAAAAAAACGCTGCAAAAGGTCTTCGACAACGCTAAAAAAACGTTGTCGTATCCTTCTACTCTATGGCAACATCGAAGTTTGCAACATAAACACAAACGTTGCAAAATGTAGTTTTTGTTGTAGTGTGTGGATCATTTCTTTTCACAAGTTTGCTCGTGGAAGGTATTTCTATGAGAGCAACTGAAATGCATAACTGACACCGACTGAATCGATGGTTGAAGGGTCAATGCGTTCTCAACTGAGAGTTGTGATTGGCTTTTATGGTGACATCCCTCTTGCAGTATGTATCACTAAGATTTTTGCTTTGTTCTTTGTCTTGTTTGGTGGAAGGGAAGTCTTCACTCTTGTTGTACATGATGTGTGATAATTCTTTTAGACTGTTTAAGAATTGCTTGTGAAAATTGAAGTAGTTGGTTACGATTTTGATTGGCTTGGGACTTTTCTGCATTTCATGATGGCAGGCAAGTTGAAAAATATTTAGCTGACTTTTGTTAATATATGACCACGATTTTATCCTTTATTAATCTTTCTCTATTGCACCGTTCAACACTATTGAATCTTTCTTACAAAGCATGTCAATATAGGATTTCAACACATGATGAATACCATTTTCACCGTTCAACACTATTGAATCTTTCTTACAAAGCGTGTAAATATAGGATTTCAATACATGATGAATACCATTTCAATATAGGATTTCAATACACTAAAAAAATTTTATTTGATATATATATTGTCACAAATAAGGCTGGCAAACTTTTAGGTATTGTGATTTTGGATCCTTAGTTTTCAAAAGTAAGGCTTTGATCTTAACTTATTTAAATCTATGAAATTGAATTCCTATGTTGACATAAAATGTTTATGGTGGGCATTAAAAGTGTACACAACTTTCATATGACAAAGATGAATATTAAATGGTTTGATGATTTTGCCCTCTAGTTCTAAATCACGTAAAATTGACATGCGAGGTCAAAGTTTATTGATATCAAGTTTCCATTTAGTGGGATCCAAATTCACATATTTAAATAGATTAGGACCAAAACCTCATTTTGAAAATTAGGGAAAATAACACTTAATTAATATATAGTGACAACTTAATTAATATAATTTTGCACATAAATGGTGTCAAATCATGGTTAAAGTGTTAAACAAGGTCAATGCCGTTAATCATGGAGTCCTTATAATGCTTAATAGTCTCATTCTCTAGAAGAAGACATACGTAATTATGCGCATTAGACTCCCACTCTTTACCCTAATCTGCTTCTATAATTCTGCGGCCAAAACCATTAGGAGGCGTTTGGTATACATATGATACAATAATGAGCGCAAAACAAGAAATATAATTAAATTAGTTCTTATAAAAACTAATCAATTCTAAAGAATGAAGTTGGATAAGTTTTTCCAAACAAGAGCATAATCTCAACTTGATGGAATGCCCTTTATTCGTGGAGAACTAACAACTATATAGAAGATAGAATTATTAATAGCAACATAAGAAACAGACTAATTTTACCTGAAGATTTTCTTTTCTCTTCATTCAATTTTGAATGCAGAACTATAGAAGTTACATGTATGTATACCCTAATTATGTATGCATGCAGAATCCTCTGTCAATGCTTAGGCAGGTCTGATCCTAATTTGGGAACTGAATGAGCAAAAGTATTATCTGCTAAACCTTCTTGATCTTATAGTAATTTAACCCAGCAAGTATACGTATAATCAAGTTAGTAATGTTAAGTAGAATCTCCACGAACTGAGAGAAAATCTATGAACGATACAGCAGTACTATCAACCTTGGTTTGATTTTGAACTGCTGCAGGCTCCTGCTCTACCTCATCATCGTCGAATTTCCTAGCATGGTCTATCACTTCACTTCGGTTTGAGTTATCAGTATTCACTTGGAGAAAGTCATAGAACTCTACCGCTTGTTTACTTCTATCTGCAATCACAAGATTATATCGAAGAGTTTATTTAGGGTGATGCAATCAATTCTCTCAAAAAGTCGTACTTCGTACCAGAGAGGTGCGATCGAGTTCTTTATAGCCCAAGAATAATATAATATGATCAACTTATTTAAACATTTAGGAAGTTGAAGAAAACGCTAGTTAATTTTATACTTGATATCACTAACTTACCTTCATCTATCTTCATGTGAAGAACCATATTGTCCGAATGAAGCTCCTTCTGGTATATGGGTTGATTGTAAGTTAGATGGTGCTCGAATCTCGGATAACATGTCTCTACAAAAGGGTTAAACCTTAAATTTTTGTCACTGAAAACTGGGGTATCCTGATTTGATGTGGACTTTTGATCATTTTTTAAAGCTTGTGATGCCCTTTTTGAGTAAATTTTCGACCTTTCTCTGCATTTTCGAGCCATGATAACATGCCAGTGATTCTTCACAGCATTATCAGTACGTCCGGGGAAGAGTCGAGCAATTATAGCCCATCGATTCCCATGAATTCGGTGACAAGCAAGAAGCCTCTCTTCTTCCTCTTCTGTGAAAGGGCTCCGGTTAATTCTTGGATCCAACTGATTGAACCACCTCAACCTACAACTCTTCCCTGATAATATTAATTTAATATGATTGATTAGTTTCACGCAATTGAAGGAAATACATAATGTAATTTCTTTACATGCAGTCTACAAATTCATGTCCAATATATTAATAATTAATTTTTGTACCTCATTTTATCTTTGTTTTCTTAACAAAACATGTCATATTAAGTTGTTAAATTTTTCTTAACAAAACATGTCATGAAAGGAGAAAATATGCTAACAAGAAACACAAAATCTAATTTAAGTATTATCCAAATTATGCCCTAATTAATAATAAAGAATACTATGTGTCTCTTTATCCAACCCACCAGGTGGTCTATTTATTATTACTAGAAAGTGAAAGTAACCCAAATTTAGGTGGGATACATACGCGTAAGATATTTCGATGAACCATATATGTAATTTTAGGGTTTGTCATCCATCCATTGTTGCTAGATTTCACTTAGTTCAAGGGATGGATCTGAAAATTTATATCAACATAAAACCCTAAGAAAATAATTTATTTTAATTATCCATTACTAGGGTGGGGTGAATATGTAGATGGATGCAATAATTTCACCTGATCTTCCCTGTAGCTTTTCAGCTATGGCATTCCAGTTATGTGGTCCATGTCGTTCGACCAATTCTCGAAGCTTCTCATCCTCAGCTGGTCTCCAGTGCCCTCTGCTGCACATCTGCTCCGACCGCCCAACAATCGATAAATATCCAAATAAATATAGAACAAGATCACTCACTACCTTCAAACCTCTAATTCTTCTCCTTTTCTTACCTTGCACAAAACAGATCGAGGATGATAAATGGTATCACATATATGTTTTATCCGAAGAATTGAAAAGAAAACTTTTGCAGGTGGAGGTGGAGAAGACAAGGAGAGAAAAAAAGTGCATGTTAAGAGAGAACTTAAGGGGAAGATAAGAAAGTGTTTTCCGTTAGAAAGTGAGAGGATTTGGACAGACCAGCACCTCTTCTTGATGCAACGTCTACCCTAACATTATAAGCACTTATAAGTTATTATACAACGTATATATAAGGTTTATGAGAGAGAGAAGGTTGCTTGGTGGTGTTGAATTTCGTTCTCCTTTCAACATCTTTCTGAAATTCCAACCTACAATACCCACCTAGCAGCATTTTTTTTTTTTTTCCTTTTCTTTTCTTTTAACTGTATATATAGTAAACATTTATATGCAATAAAATCGATTTCAGTCTAAGTGAGTTGAGTCCTCTGTATACCTTACTATTTTCATCCACGACTCATTGCGATGCCAAATATCACCAAACTTTAAAAAGGAAAAGAAAGAAAATATTACTTATTTAAGAAACAAAATTGAAATGTATTTTATATATAAGAGGGAAAAGTTTGGTATTGTCGTTAGACCTTAATGAAGAAGAAGAGGGAGGTTTAGGTCTTGATCACCTTTCCAAGACCTAACTAAAAATTGGCCTATGATCTCTTAACTGCACGAGATTTAAGGATGTCTTTGTTTGGTTAAACTGTCAATTAGAATTATGTGTTGTAATCTTTTATTATTCAGAAAACTGAGAAGTGATCAATAAGTTCATAGTAAATTATGGCCATCCCCAAGTGGTTGTCTCCTCATCTATCCAATCACCCGGATTTTGACACGTCACTACATTACCTTCGAATAACAACATGCCACACAATATATTACAAGTGACATCATATTTGGAATGACGTATTTTTATTTTCTATTTGATGTAATAGATCGAAGGGACGATCATTTGGGAATAACATATCTCAACTTTTAGTTATGTAAATTACAAAAAAGTCGTAGGTATTTCTCTTATTTTGGGATTAATTTTGATAATTATATGTAACTAATCATTCTTTTAAGTGCTTGTTTGATAAAATTGTACTAAAATTTTAACATTTTTAAAATTTTTCAAACTTTAATTTTAACCACATAATTCATGACAACTTTTCAATCACATTTCATCAACTTTTAACAAAATTTACTAAAACTTCTAAGATTTGTCAATCCACCCCGAAATATATAGCATCCATACAATGTTTAAAAAAAATGAAACTAACTAGATTAAGCATGCATGCATGTGAAAAGAAAACAAGAAAAATAAAGAGAAAATCTTGGAGACCAAATTCATTAACGCTACCTATGGTCATAACTGTAGGAAAGAACAGTCTACTATGTTCTCAACATCCAAAAACTACCAAAGGAAACTAATTATTTAATTTAATTTAATTATATTGGACTAAGACTTCTTTTGACTGTTGGCCTACCATTCTCTTATTTCATTTTTATATTATTTTTTTTTTAAAGAATAAAAAGGTGCCATACAAAGACTGACTCTATTTTTCACCCACCATTTGTACCCATGATATTTCCTACTTGGTGACTGTTAACTGTCATTTCTAAACTGCTGCCGTTTACTTCAACTAACAGATACATTGCAATTCTATGAAGTCCATGGATTTTGCTTTTTTTAATGTTCTTTTTTATTATTTTATTAAAATAGGAGATTTGTTATTACACTATAGTTTAGGGCATTATTTGTAATTTCTTAACGATTGATACTAGGGTTTCTTGTGTTTTGAACTGTGGTTCATTATTCTTGATATTGTTTATAAAATAAAATTTGAATTTTTTTGGTACAAAATCACAAACGGACACTTGAATAATGTTGAAAGTACCGTGAATATTCAAAAAAAAAAAAATTAAAGTTCAATGACAGTTGGAGACAGAGCAAGTGCCTTCGGAAAAGTACGGTGACCATTGAAATTTTTAACCTAATTTCAATAATTCGGTATTCTTGGTGAATCGAAGAATATCATGATGCTCAAATTTCGGTATTCAAATCAAATCAATGGATTTTCAGGGTGGTAATAATACTGTGAATAATGTAAGGTAAACATGAATGTAGATGTTAAGATGGACGTGTACATATGCACTTGACTCACATAGTTCCTCAAATGTAGAGACTATTATAGAGAAATCTTCATATGTGCACCATGAGAAATTGATTGTGGAATTTTAAATAGCATGCATCAATAGAACAATATCAGCTCACTTTCAAGAATTACCAGAGACGTATGTTTATGACACTATAAATTATGCCCCCTCCCCCCCTACCAAAAAAAAAACATACTGTCTCAACTCTCATACATGGATCAGACTTCTTGACTGTTCACCAGCTTTACCTACTTCCTTGCTGATTATCATTAATTCTTCTGATACCCACGGAAGACTAATCTTCATTTTTGCAGTAAAAAATATAGCTATAAAGGATTTACTCACAAGTGTACATTGACACTTTCTTATACTGTAAATATATATTGATGTTGTTTTAAAAATTGCATCATAAATCTGATCTAGAGAATGTAGTCTAAACAATTAACTTCTAACATGTGCATGTTCGATATGTACGTAGTATCGCATAGTACGTAATGGATAGTATAATGAACAAATTTCAGTATTTAGCTTCCATGGGACAGAATTTTAATCGAATTGTTAGACAGTACGATAAAGGAATTTCTGAGTCAAGAAGTTATCTGAACTTCTCAACTGCTAAACTAAACCCCTGAAAGCTAACAGCTGAACCATTTGTATTACTTTTCTTAATTTCAATCCAAGTGCACAACTACCTCATGACCTATAAATGACATATTACTCCCACCATCAGCCTCTCATTGTTGTCATATTTTTTCTTCTTATTATTAACATCAGCTGTTTACGCCGAGTGTTCCGGCACCTCATTATATGTTGCACAAAGGTTTTCAAGAGAATTCAGAAAATAAGATGTAAATTATTAATGTAGTTTGAGTATAACTTACTTTTGAGGTTGTGGATAGTAGGTACAAGACAAGGATATATGTCACTGTTGGCATGGATACATTCCTTTAGGAGAATTGTTATACTAACTCTGATGGAATATAACACCTTCGCATTGCCAACTTGACTTTATATATATATATATATATATATCTTCTATATATTAAAAGTGGTTATGTAACGGAATTTCTTGTTTTTAACAGAAAAACTAACGGAATTTGTTGTTTTAACGGATTATGTAACGGAATTTCTTGTTTTAAACAGGCAGCTGCACCTTCTTTCAGTGTTTTTATCATAACTTTGTATTTCGATATCTGATTGAGGCGATTCNTCATAAAGTTTTTGACAGCTTGTGGTCTTGTTTTTCTTTCGATACCACAACGGGAATAGAGCGATCCACGAACTCACTCAATCACTCAATATTAGTAGATTGTATACCGTCTTTTATTTCATCCGCTATTCGCGGTGATTGACCTTAAATGAGGATTTCTCTTTGGCCTTCAGAAAAAGAAAAGTTTTTTGACAGTTCTCTATGAGATTATATAATGAGTTGAAAAGTTGCACTAGCCATGCCTTTCGGCTCAAGCGTTGAATAGCACAACATACTTACAAGTCCATGATGATGTTCACATTTTGCCGCCTTTAAAATTGACCTGGAGAAATGACTTATCCTCGTAAGAGTTATATTCAAGACAAAATTCAGAAGGAAAAAAGCACAGAATTCTTCAATTACTCAAAGAAGAAAGGACACTAACAGATAGAAATCTTATCTTAACCAATCAAAAAGCAACCATAGTTTGATGTGCCTAATTTCATATCTTGTTATATTCCATAAAGCTATGAGTAGGTTCTAAAATAGGCTTTACTTGGTGCCGCACAACTCTCTACCTGGGCACGTGCCTATTTCGCTTTAGGTGGTTGGTATGTGAGTGGAGTTTCGTGTTTTTCTCAGATTCTTCTAATTCTCTTCTTGTCCTATTTAAATGAAATTAAAATACAGTACAACTAACCACATCTGCATAACCATTCAAAATAAATAAACTTGTACCCGAGTACAATATAAAAAGTATATAAAACTAAACCTGATTCACCTAAATCATAACCTCTCTAGCTCTTGGTCACATTCAAACTCATTACGTGAAGGAGATTTTGTAAATTTATATTCTTCACAAGATTTGGATACTCTGTTTAAAATCATCAGAAAGCTTTTCAACACCATGGGGAAAATTTTTTAGTTCACTTCTTGATTGTTCTTGTTTTCCCTGTAAAGATCATTTGAGTGCCGAGCAGATAAAATGGATGAAAGAAAATAACACTTCACAAGTTCAATTTACGAGAACGAGACTGCCAGACCACAGAAGAAAAAATACGATAACCCTTAAATCTTATTCATCAATCGATTTACTTGAGTTATGATTTTAGTTCTTCGCGCTTCAATTTGTAAATTTCACAAGGACATATATTAACACAACCAGAAAGGCAAAAAGACTTTTTTTATATATGTATGACAATTATTTATAGGGAAACATTGTCATCAGTCGACAATCCACATGCAGAAACTAATCCAGAATTGCACAGAATAGGTCATAAAACTACACAGAGGGTGCACACACAAAGTTAATTGATAGAATGCAAATAGTTGAATATTTCCAAACTAACAGACTCCACTGGTTTTCTTGTCTGAAATCCTTCTCCAGTAGTTGAAGATTTCCTTTTGAGTTTCTACAGTGCTCTTTTTCAGGTGATGCCGGTCAGCATTTACTTTGTGTGTTTCATCTGTGACAGCAGTAACATGGGCATCCTTATTCGATTCCTCGTCATTGACGGCAGTAACATGTGCAGCCTTAGTCGAAACTCGAGGTGGCAATTCGTCCAACTCCTTAAGAACTTTTTGTATGTCAGATACGAGTCTTTCTGCCAGGCTGTGGCTTAAGTCCTCTCGAATCACAACACGTAGCACCGCAATGTGTTCAGCATCTGGTGGCATGGTATATGCTGGAACAATCCATCCAAACCTTCTGAGAGATTCTGATATTTGGAAAACAGTGAATCTGCTGCTGTCTTTGAGTGCAAACGCCACCAAGGGAACACCAATGTCTTTTGAAACAATCACGAACCGCCCTGTTTTGGCCATTTCTTCTCTGAGCAACCTAGCATTCTCCATGCAGTTCTCCATGATGCTTTTGTAACCCTGTACGACCGTGAAAATTTGAAGAGGCCCAAGAGAGGCTCTATAGCAAGACACTTCAATTAAAGTAGCGTATTACCGACACTTCTCGGACACTCTACCGTAATTCATTTTTCTTTTTATATTAGAAAATTATATATTGTTAATTCAAATTTATTAGCAAGTAACAAATATGTACTCATGTTTAAAAGATTTGATTTCAACAAGAAAAATTAATAAAGTATAAAATTAAATTTATACTATATAAATGAGGACTTTCTAAGAATTTAATCAACGTGTCGATAATGTGTCGTGTCTGTACTTTTTTTTAAAATCGCGTGTCGACGTATCTGACACGTATCGTGTCGGACACAAGTGCATGTGTCGGTGCATCATAGAGGAGAGGTATGTCAATGATCATCGTGAGCTAAAGAGAAGATAAAATATAAGGTATATCACCTAGTAACTCTCGACTGTTTATAGTTGAAACACGTACCTCCAAGCCAAGTCTTATGAACTGATAATACTGAGCAATAATTTGGCATGATCCTGAAAAGCGAAATATATAAACACCATTGGTTCTAGAATAATATATAATTAAGAAAGACAAGCATCGGTAACACTCCAACGCTAGGATTTCCCTTGTATTATTCAAACAGCAAGCAATCATAGCTAAGATCTAAAAAGCACGAATGCGTAATTCGAATACGATACGGGTACGCCAATACAACTTTTCTAAAATTAGGATACACAGATACTTGTTATAAAATTCAATATAGTTTCATCCATATAAAAAATATTAAAATAGAAGCAAAATAATAAAAATAAAACAAAATACTAAAACATTTTATCTTAATCTTTAATTGTCCAAACTTCATTTTTTTCAACGTCAATTTCTTTATTATCTTTAAAAATAACTCTATCCAACTCTGACACAACTAGTGATAGATTGACTGGGTTTCAATAGTGTTATTTCAACCAATTCAATATTTTTCAAAGAGTACTAACGGGACACGTTACCGACACGTTAATTAAAATCTTTAAAATTATTTATTTATATAGTATAAATTTAATTTTTTACTTGTTATTAATTTTTCTTGTAAAAATCTTTTAAATATGAGCACATATTTTATTATTTAATAATAATTTTGAGTTAAAAGTATATAATATTCTTGATAAAGAAAGAAAATGACCATGGTAGAGTGTCGGAGAAGTATCGGCATCCGACGAGAGTCCGACACATGCAAACACGAATACGCTATCCTAATTGAAGTGTTCGTGCAACCCAGATTAGCAACCTCAAAAAGTTCAACATCTTCAAGTATACAATGTCGAGCATTTTGGATTCTACTTTCGGATATAAATCTAACTTTGTGTATTTTCGATAAATATTATCAATACTCAAATGAGTTATTAAAATAATTAATAAATAGATATCCGATACGAATCAAATACATAACGAAAATAATTAAAAAATATATAATATTAATTAAAAATACGTATCCGATACATGTAGAAAACTAAAAAATATATAAAATAATTAAAAAAACATGTATTCAATACGTAGGATATCGGAGAGTATCCAAACTTGAATACATATCGGATACAAGTACATAATGAGTATCCGTGCTTCTTAGGCTAAGATTTCTTCATTGTTGAATTAAATAACCTGGATGTCATTTTTTATTCCTCGAAAGCAAACCGGATGTCATCTGTGTTGAACAAACTCCATTTTTTTTTTTTTAATGAACAAGTAATTTAACCAATAAAATCTTGAAAATAGTTAAGAGTCTCTGCTAAGCCTGAAGCTGGAATTAATTTCTCTTGCTGTTAATACCTTTGCACCAGTGCCATATGAATCGTGGCTTACAAGTGACAACTAATTGTTTTCAACTGGCAGTAGAAACATGAAACATCTGATTCTGTGAGTTCCTCTTAAATTTATCTTGCATACAGCAAGAGAATTTGGGAAGATCACAGCATAAATTATAATCCACAGCTACAGTAATGCCATGTTAGAATAACACTTGCTTTTATAATTGTTTCAATGAGTGAACCTTTAATGCCTTCATACATTATTATATACCGAATCCTTTTAGCACTGGCAGCCTAAATTACTATTTCTCATAAAACTCAATCTGCTGAGATTAAAAAGTTTCAATAGCCATCAATTTTTTCCGACCTCTTTACTTTATTTCGAAATCTCAATAATCCAAACCAAAAATTTCAATCAAGATAGACCATTTTCTTTACTTTTAAAGCACATTAAGCGTAAATATTGAATTTCAAAAATGCTAAGTACGCTTCATTACATGTACATGCAGAAAACAAGTAGAGATGCCATAATGTTCAGAACTTTGCAAAATCCACTACAAATTATGTAATAGAACCCTTTTTAATGTTTAGGCAGCAAAACTAACCATTAGTTTCTTCAGAGAACATCTTAAAATCTGCAACCTACTGAAAATTCTCAGGAAATTTGAAAAATGAAACCCAGTTAAGCAATTAAATAAGAGTGCAATGGGGCGAAGGTAAGCTACTTTTCACAAAACATAAGACCTCACAAAAACTTGAACATAGTTAAAAGTCACCTTTTGAGAAGTTCAGTGTGAATGTAGGTTGATCAGATCCTAGGTAGTTGATGTGAAAGACAAGCTCCTCTGGCAAGTCATCCTTGTTCCGCCATATTACCCACCCAACACCTGCATAAACAAGGCCATACTTATGGCCACTGACATTGATGCTCTTCACCAACGGCAAACGAAAATCCCATTCAAGCTCTGGGAAAAGAAATGGAGCAATAAACCCGCCACTGGCAGCATCAACATGGATTGGGGTGTCCCACCCCGTTTTGTTGTTCTTCTCTGTTAAAAGTTCATTGAGGAGCTTCACATCCTCAAATTCCCCTGTCAAAGTAGAACCTAGAATGGCAGCAACACATATTGTGTTCTCATCTACCATATCCACTGCTTCAGCTGGATCCATAATATAGTATCCTTCCTTCAGTTTTACCTCTTTCAGTTCCACCTCAAAGTACCTTGCAAATTTCTCCCAGCAAACCTAAGAAATAATTGCATCAGAATACTAGGAAAGTTGCTCAAACAACCAGTCCTTTGTATCTCTACCAAATCATAAGCTTAAAAAAGGTTGGCGTACACCTTCTCAGAGAAATCATTCATGATATTCAGGTTATATATATAAGCTCATGAACAGGGAACATTTAGATTTTCTAGGGGGAATTCAATAAACATAAATTTAAAGTAATGCTAGGTGAGTCAAGTAATAGCTCTTCCTCAATATACATGAACTAAAAGGTTGACAAAGAATACGAACATATTTCAATCTTAGGTTATTGCCGACCAATTCAGAATGGTGGCACGTTCTGAGATAAAATGACAGAAAAAAGCTCAAGCTCATTCTATGAAGTAGTTAAAATGACCACAGATTGAATTTCAGATTATGTCTTTAGCATCAAAAGATATTAAATTTGCAAACGAGGTTCCTTTACCATATAACATCAAGGCCCTGTTTGATGGCCATTATTTGGCAAAAACAAAGTTTTGAATAGGGAGTTTTGGAAAATGTGTGGTTAAAAAATTAAGAAAAATTTGGAGTTTACGTGTAGAATATTTTATTGTATGAATATGTGGTTGAAAATGAGTATATAAGAAAAAAATTGAATAACGGTTGTCAAACAGGGGCAAAGTCATAAAAAATTGTTAAAACTCTTGATGCCTATCTAGTAAAACCAAATAGCATTGTCAAACGAAGATAATCATAGAATTGGTTAATGAATTAAAAACAAAGAATCTTGTCTAATAACCTGCACATTAGCTCCAGTGACAATGTTAGGCTTATCGTAAGGTTTGCCCTGTGCCTTTCTCTTTGCTTGCCACTTCCTTTTAAAAGCGAGACCTGCAAGCATTATTGCTTCAGATGAACCTACTGTACCAACACCAATCGCCGTTTCATCATCGCCAACAGGGGCATGGAAAAGATGGGCTATCATGTTCACACACCGATTCTGCAAAAACCAATAATCAAATTAGTAATTTAAATGGAGGAAAAGTTTCTTTGGGACTATAGCTACCTAAATAGCCAGTTCCTCAAGGTCACGTTTACTTGTATTTTTCCCACTTGCAAAAGCTTAGATTCGCTATCAACAAAACTTCATCCCATAGTCAAGATCAGCTATATAAAAAAAATCCTCTTTATGCACACCACTCTATCAGGGATCGTCTTCATTCTTCAAAGTGAAACCAGAAAGGTTCTTATCGTTCCTAATTACCCCATCCATGCAATTTTCCCAATATATATTTCAAGATTTTATGCATTTCTATCTTTTTGCCATCTCTTTCAAGGAAATCTGTTTTCCTTTTGAGATCGAGATCAATTGGTTTTAGGCCGAATTGAACCGAAATTTCAGATGGTTTGTAAGCTGATATATCAGTTCTTTTCTAACTACATATACGTGAATTCTACTAATCAGTAGACTATTCAACTATAACTTTATTGATGCTCTTCTAATTTCAATTAGATTAAGAAAAATGTCCCTGACCTGTAGTTCAGTAGTGACAGGGTACTCATCCATGTCAACATAGTTCTTGTTAATGGAATCCATGATAAGCTTATCGCACTCGGGCTCCATCCATGTTGTGACAAAAGAAGCCAAGTTGAGGCGTGGGTTCCCATCCAGCATCAACTCATCGTTCACTATCTGATACGCCGCTTCCTTCGGCATCGACCCCTCTGGAATCTTGAACCTAAAACCCAAAATTCAAACTCATATACACACACCAAACCCTGAATAAACCCTGTGTGTGATTACAAAGAAGAACCTGGGGAGAGATGTGCGAGCATATCTTGAAGCAAAAGTGCAGTGGAGGCGCTCATCGGAGTCTGATATAGTAGTTGTAACCACCATTATTGTAACTATTTCTTGAATTGATGAATGAAGAACTGAGAGCACCAAGAAGAGTTAAAAGTAGAAAAACCCAAAGTTTGATTAAAAAGTGTGTCCCACCGTCACAATAAATGCTGAGTGGCTACCATACGTGGCGACTCGCCGTTAGGAATAGCTTTTGTTAAAAGAGCTTTTGAAGATTTTTGTTTCAAAAAGCCGCGTTAAAGGATCGGTCTGCAAATGTGAAATTTGGGTAGAAAGAAAATGAATTATAAAGAATTGAATTGTCTAAAATTTATTTTACTGAGAATTATAATTAA